GGGAGTATGGGGAAATGGGGAGTAAAAAAAAAAAAAAAAAAAGGATCAAAATGCAATATGTGTAAGTAATAATTCCCTATGATGACTGTATTTATTTATTTATTTATTTTTGGTGCCAGGAATTGAACTCACAACCGGTGCTTGCAAGACAGGGCTTATGCTGCTGAGCCTGATGCTTCCTGGCCTGATGAAAGTACTTATTATATATTACAAACGTACCAATAAAAAGATTTCTAAGATACACATAACAATTTATAAGATTTGAAGCTTTAATGACTGTTGTCATGGTTTATGTCAATCCCCCCCCCCAAGCCTCATGCAATCAGGGATATGACCAAATCTAGGGTTTGTGATTTGTTTGTTGTCTAGTGCTACCCCACCCAGGGGTGGAGCCAGCACACAGAGTAACTGCAGGAAGAAGGTGTGTCTCTTCCTTGCTGGTTTGCACCTTGATGTTTGCAGCAGCAGTGAATGGCTGCCTCCCAGCCACTCCACCTGCCTTGCAGCCAGCTGAGTATGGACTGAAACCTCCAAGAACTGTAAGAAATAAACCTTTCCTTTCCTAATTTTGATCATCAGGTATTTTGTCTCAGCAATGAGAGAGAAAAGTAAGACAGCTCTTTAGTTTTGGTTATTTTTGATATATTACCACACGAATGCTGTATATATAATTAAACATAGTAGTTTCTCATTACAGCACACTATTTTGAAATGTCTGATGGATGATTATTTAGAACTAGTTCTGAATCAGAATTTAAAGAGATAAATTTATTACTTACTATGATATTCAGAGTAAATAAGTTGTGTATGTGTTTTTCCCTAATGAGTTATGTCTTCTTGAAGGAGAAGAATAACTCAATGTACTGTATCATATATAGAATAGAGGAAAGGCTCAATTAATATTTGATTAAATCAATTAATAATAAATTAATTTTGAAATTATTTCCTTTAAAGTACATAAGAATAATTTTAAAAGGTACATAATTATTTAAATATCTCAAGATCAACAGCTGTATGTTGCATTATAATTTCCAAGATAAGTTCACATATATATAGATGCTTCTTAATCATAACTGATATCAAAAATGCATTATTTTTATTTTGTGAATGAGCACCATGAAGCACTGAGAAGTGAAGTGACTTGTTGATAATAACAAACTAGTTATGTCACAAGTAGAAACCATTTCTTTTTACTTAATTCTTCATGATTTTTTTTTTTATCGGTACCAGGGATCGAACTCATGACCGCCTGCTTGCAAGGCAGGTGCTTATGCCTGTTGAGCTAAATCCCCAGCCCCATGATTCTTTTCTTAATCACAAACACTTTAGTTACGGATTCAACTTTGTCATAGGTTCTCATTTCATACTGGTTCTACTGACTGTGTCTTTCATGCAATCTTAACCATTTCATACTTATTTTCTATTCTAAGTTCATATAAATATATATATGAATAGAAATTGGAATTCGGTTTTTTTCTTGTTATTTCTGCTGTAACATACAGAAAGAGTACTATGCAGTTGAATTTAAAAAATATTAGAGTTTCTGCTTCAGGTAATAAGGTGGAATAGATATCCTGGAACAAAGGGAATGACTTATGCTTATGATGGGCAGGAGATAAGCCTAAGGCCCAAGCTGGGAACAAGAGTGTATGTGCACAGGATTGTATGAAATCCAAAACCCTGGTATACAGCCAAGAACTTGCAGAGCCAACGTAATTATTAGGTGGACTTGAAAGAAACTGTTCCACAGAGCTAGACTAGAGATTTATAGTACTTGCCTGCCTGAGCCTTGTCTCTGAGTGAAGCAAACAAGTGTGTCTTCTGCCCACTTCTAGTCCTAATGTGCATTCTACCCGTGTTATGCCTTATATCTAGACATTCCCCAAGCTCATGCACTCTTAGGTGGAGCTCTTGGGAGATGACTGAATCGTGTGTGTGTGACACTGGATGGTGGGTGTGTAATACTGGCTTAGTCTACTGAGGGGTTTAGAGTTGGGGGTAATGCCGGGAGGCGAAGCCTAGTGGGAACAAGTGACCGTGGGTCTGAACTGAAAGGGTATGTGAACACATCCTTTCTCCTCTCCTAATGACCTTTGCTTCCTGCATGCTTTGCCATGAGCTCTTTCTCTCTGCCATGTTCCTCTGCTGTGCCACTTTGCCAGCTAACAATGGACGGAAACTCTATGAACTTTGTGCTAAAATAAACTATTTCTTGAACTTGTGGGTGTCAGACTTTTTGTCCCAGCAATGAGAAAGTAACTAAGACAACATGATTTAAGAATAAGTTTCATGGGCCTTGCAAGCAGGCAGTCGTGAGTTTGATCCCCAGTACCGATAAAAAGGAAAAAGACAAAAAAAAAAAAAAAAAAAAAAAAAAAAAAAAGAATAAGTTTCACAATACCTATATAATGAGTCTTCCTTTCTTATACTCACCTTAAAAAATTCATGGTATAATTTTGATAAGATGAGTAGTTAGACAAAAGCAAACACAATCCTCTCTGGAGAAATGAACTTTAAAACTAGGTTTTAAAAACTTCTGGAGATAAAATTCTAAGGAACATGGGCTCCAATATCAAACCATTTCAAGAAAACTTAAAGAAAAAAATAGCAACAACAACTATAAAACAAATCAGATTCACAAAACACCAATGAATTGGAAATATTAGCTACAGAATACACAGTATGCCTTATTATTGAGGGTCTGATGAAGAAACAAGATATAAAAATGGCAGAAATTTTAACAAAAAGATAATTACCAGACTTAAAATGGTAATCATTGAACTAGTAAGCTCAAGTAAATGGAAAACTAGAGGACTGCTCAGTTGCAGGCTGGCATCCTGACTCAAAATCATCAGTGCAGATCCCACAGAAGAGAGAGTTGGATGGATTTGAGAACAGAATGTAACAAATTTAGAAAATTTCAGAGTAAAGACTGCCATGGACCAAATGTGTGTGTGAGGTAAGGGCAATTAGAGATAAGGTTTATAGCAGTCCAAGGTGAAAGGTGGCTAGGCATCATAGAAAGGGGGCTGGTAGAAGTTTCAAAGTTCTGCACCAGCCTCTCCCCAAAAGTAACTGCTCCACTTAGAGACCACCCTTGGGTGGAACAGAGCATTGAAACATAGTAAGTGTATGTTATTGAATACTATCTTGCATTTAGGAGCAAAAGAGTAAACATATATGAAACAATGTGGCTGAATTTTTAGAAACCTAGAGTTTAATAAGAAAACTAAGAAATGTATGATTTATGGGTAATAGATTTATGTAAATTAAAAATACGCATGCAAAATAATCATATATGTTATTAAAACATACAGATGAAACATACACTCAACTGGGAGTTAGGGATAAAACAGAAAAAGTAAATAAAGTCAGAAGGGGATTGTTCAGATCAATTATAATTGCGTACTATGAATTAGAGCATTTAAAAGTATGGTTATATGAGACTAAAATAAAAAGGAAGAAAAATATTCAATGGAAGTGTTAAAGAGAAGATTAGATATACTCTATGAAAGAAACTAGAAGACAAATCTAAAAAATAATTACTTTGGATGCAAGTTAGACAAAAACTATGGGGACAAAATGCCACACAAAATGGAGAATACATTGAGAAGGTATAATGTAGAGTCTGAGTGAGGTGATATTCAAAGAAATAGGTAAGGGTATTCCACAGTTGGGAGATGTTTTCTCAAATTTAAGAAGCAGCTCATGACATAAGAGCATAATCAACCGAAAATAAGAACACCAAAGACAAATGCACATATTAAAATAAACGCAGACTACAGTACTAAAAAATTAAGCTGGCTGACAGCTAACCACTTGGTAATAACAATTGAAACATTAGGAGCATGAAATATCTCAAAGAGCCAGAAGGACATGTCTATGAATCTAGATTTGTGCACTAGAAAAATCAACTTTTAAGTATGAAGGCGCAAGCCAGCAGCGGGCACACAGGAAGAAAACAAGTCAGGGTCTCTCATGGCAGATGTTTCGTGGTCAGCCTGAGTTGACAGCAACTAAGGCACATAAAGTAACTAAATGCTTTGTATTGTTGGGTTGATTATGCTGACCTGGGACCAGAGGTCTGAGCATCTCTTGAGAGGATGCCAGTATGCAATATAGCAAATATGTGGGATTTCCTTCTATCTCCTCTTTGAAGGTGAATATTGTTTTCACTGTTTTACTTTGTTTTGATTAATTGTTTTTCTCTATTTAATATTCTGTTTTGATAGGTTTGTAGTGTTCTATTTTTGGTTTGATTTTGCTGTGTCTAATGGAATGGACAACTATTGTGAAGACAAGGACATATACTATGGTACTTATTACTGTTATTCTGGTATCCTGCTTTGAAGTTTTGTACCAATTTCATTGCATTGTCTCGATTGGTTTTGTTCTGTCTTGTTTTATTGTATTTTACTACCTTAAAAAAAAAAAACCAGAATGAGGACCAAATTGGGACTGGGAGAAGAAAGGGAAAGACAATGAGAAAATGAATTAAAATGTGTTATGCACATGTACAAACTACCTGCAAGGAATACAAACATTATGTATTCTAAACATGTCCTAAATAAAGAAAATAACCTGAAAAAAGAATACAAATATAAAAAAAAGAATGAAGATACTTGATGCTGATGTTTACCCACATGACCTGAAATGAATTTGATGAAGGACATCTGTACTCTCATGTTCATGGCAGTACTATTTACAAGTCATATTATGGAATTTACCTAAATGCCCATTTATGGATGAATGTATAAAGACAATGAGTTATATATAATGGAATATTCCTCAGCCTTTAAAAAGAAGTTAATTCTGTCATTTGCAAAGTGATGAAATTAGAGAATATTAGGCTAAATTAAATAAGACTAGACACAGAAAAAAATTCCAAATGATCTCATTCATTCAAAACAATCAAACATATATAGAGAGAAAGTAGGATGCAACCTACAGAGGCTAAAATGCAAAAGGTTGAGGAGATAATAGTCAAAAGATGTACAATCTCAGTTAAAAGGAGGAACTTTATTTTTTAAAAAGTTGAATTCTGTGGCACAACATGGTAACTGTTAACAGTAGTACAATATTGTATATTGCAAAATTGCTAATAGTATACATTTTGCCTGTTCTTATGACAAAAAATGCTAAGTATTTGATGTGATGGATAGGTTATCTGGCTTAATTCAACTACTACACATTGTATTCATAACCTTAACATAATTTTGTAACCCATAAACCTATGTGATTATAAATTTTGAAAAGTAAAAATAACGAGAATGAAAGTGAAGCAATTTTAATAATCAAAACCAGAATTCTTATAAGCAGATCTTCAATAATGGAGCATTGAAAGCAAATACTTCAGCAAGGAAAATTGTACTTAACTACAGTAAGTAAGAATAAGTACTTTAATACCCTTTCAAAAATCAATGTTTTATTAGTGAATGTGATTAACGTAGAATGGTGAGGCACATGTACCTAATCTATCGTGACCATTTTAATCCCTTTATTCCTCCTTTATTTCTGTTTTTTCTCTCTCAGATTCTCTTTCCGCTTTCTAAAGGTCTACATTCTAGTTCCTTGTCATCTCTAATTTAAAATCCATTTATTAAAAAAACTAGCAAATCAACTAGGCTTAATTACCCGCCTTGTCTATTTGTGTATTGTAACAACATTTATGCTAAATGTCAATCTTTGTCAATTTTAATCTAAGAAATTTCATTATACAGTGTATAACTAAAAAATAATATATCAATAAATCCAAGAACAAAAAGTGAGATTTCAAGAGGAACTATCACTATTTAGTTTCTTAATTTATATAACAAAAGAATTTAGCAAAGGATTCATTACAAGACTGGCATGACACATATTTGTACTAAAGGAAAATACTATAATCAATGGTTTCAACATTTGTTCCTATAATTAACCTAATACTAATGTCAAGGGCAATTACTGAGTATATAATAGGTTTTCTGTTTTCTTATACATTAATCTTATCAGTACCTGACTTGAACATGAGAGGTGTTATATAACATAAAATTTTATTCTATTGAGCAATAGTATACAAAGAAATACAGAGCATGTATGGATGATTAAATACTGAAGTTAAGCTGAAGTGTTTAATCTACTGCAAAACTCATTTAATGCAAACATACCCTGGCAATTTCAGATATTATTGATATTATACTTTAAGGGAACATTTTCATCCAGTGTACTTCATGAAAATTTAATTTCCTCCTCTGAGGATTTGGACTTTGTTAGACTCTGTCCATTTTCAGCACAATTTTCCAAAAGTACATAAAAAATGTACTTTGTATATATGAGAGAAAAATTTGAGTGACTTTTAAAAATCCCACAGTACCAAATTTATTTCTGTGAAGATAATTTACTATAACAGTTCAAAATGACAAGTAGATCTTCCCCAAAGTTTTTTTAATTTATTGTCACAAAGTTGATTTGATATCTATTTTTATGCCACTATCCTGTTTTATTTTATGATAGGCTTTGTACAAATTGAACCTGATCTTAGATAAAATATTAACTGGGAACTCTTTTAAACAAAAGAACATAGCAATTATGGTTGCAGAAATTTAAAACTAATAAAGGAGTTTAAAACATTTAGATTCATTTTGAATTCATTTGACTGATTCATTTTCTTCCCATTTGACTCTAAGATTTTACTTTATACCTAAATAAAATATCAGAGTTTGGATACTGAATACCAAAAAACAATCGTGTGTAGTTTAGTTTTATGGACTTATTTTCAACTAGTTCTAAGTCAAAGTAAGTTAATAATACAAGCAACAATAGCTTAATTTCCATAACTGCCAAGAATCGGCCCGGACATTTGTTGGCTCCAAATCCAAAAGGTACTAAGTAAAATTTCAGCCTTTTTCCTCTTTTGTAAAAAGTGGTTTTCTTCTTACCATCTTCCATAAAACGATCAAATCTAAACTCCTGTAAAGAGCAGCAGGACAGCGTTAGTATTAAAATTTCACATGTTGTTCTCCATGTCTGTCTTAAAAGTTCTTGTTAATCTAATGCTGGAAAATAAAACTTGATTATTTACAAATCATATATAAACTTTCAAAAAACTCAAATGCTGTTAGGTAATTATTTCCCCCTATCCAATTGAAACTCCCTGCCTCTACTAGTCCTCTTCCCTCTTCATGTTTCCTTCTAAGGTTTTGGTTAGCTTTCTGACCAAAGAGTACCTGAGACCAAGTAATTTACGAACCAAACAGATTTGGTTTGGCTTATGTTTCTGTAGGCCCAGAAATATGAAGACAATGAGGTTCTGTGCTGCTTTACCTCATGATGGAAATGGAAGGGCAGGTAGGTGTATTTGAAGATGCAAAATCTGAAGAGTGACCTTACTGGATAATAAACCATTTTCCTAGTAGTTAATATAGTCCCGAGAAAGCGAGACCTCACAGAAAGAAACAAACAACAACAACAACAACAAAAAACAAACAAAAACAAAAAACAAAAAAGGTGGGGGGGACCTAATCTCTCTTCATGATTGAATTACCTCATTAGGCCCTGCCTCCTAACATGGTTAAAATGGCAATCAAATGTCAGTATGAGTTTTGGAGGGAACAAACCATATTCATACCAAGCACCTACACTGAGCTCCCCTTGCCCTTTTTTTAAACCACAAATTTTAAATTTGCTTTTGCTCCTCTCACGTTTGCAGAACATCAGTGTCATGAGGGAGAGACCTGTACCAACAGCAGCTAGCACTGCTTTCCCAATATGGAGACTGTATCTCTACTCTTGTTCCCTAAGGTGGATCTTACCATTCCTTCATATTGGGTAGGGGGTTGCAGGAGTGCTGTCCCTGTTACTATGGGATAATAACTCCTAGAATCAATACAAGCTGCCTACTGGATCAATGATTTGCTTTCTCTTAATCCCTTCACAATCACTTACTGATTGATGAAGACTTTAAGATTGTGTGTATGCTTAGATTAAATACATATAAAACAATAAGATTCAAATAAGAATTTATACTACAAAATAAAATTTGCTTCTCTTTTGATAGTGAAAGATTTTCTTTATGAAATTTCTATTAGCATGAACTCTCTTTGAGTTAAATCTAGGGTAGCAAGTGTTTCTTGTACATTTTCATAAATAAATTCTATTACGTGCTGTAGAAAATTTTGAGACTGGTTATCTAAAGCATTTGGCTTTTCATCTTAATTTTCCCACATAGGTAAGGTCATGGCTCAACTCTCACTTGAGTTTGCAGAGGAGACGGAGTGACCTTAATTCAGCCCATGGTGAATTAAATCATTGATTAAATTAATGCTCATGGCTCACATGAAAATGGTCAAGTATTTCCTGGAGTTGGTACTCATTAGCATTAGATCTGCACAGCACACAACTCTGATATAAACCACATGAAGTTAAATGCAAATAAGTAGGTCAGATTCAATGCATTTCAGGTGTGGTAAAAATTCTAACACATGAATTGATTATAAATCTATCAAAAATGATCTAATTTTGTCACTCAATGCCAGTATGGCTAATGTTAGTGAATCATTTCCTTTAATAGCATTGGTTTTATCCTCATTTACATAAATTACTTATTTTGATAAATATTTGAGTTTAGAAAAGCTGCAATTTGCAAGTTGATCCAGTGATAATGGCAAAATTAATCTGGATTCTGTTGATAATATAGGTAAACCTGGGGAAGCTCTCAAAAATTTTAAAAAACTACTACCTAGTCAATAAGTTACCTAGACTTTATGAATAGCAAATATATTTCTAAAAAGAGAAGAGTCAAGACATATTTTTTTCTTTTCCTCTAACTCTCATTGTTGTAAATTTCGCATGCCAATATATTTTCCCATATTGGCAAGAACTGACTGAATGCTTAATGTTACAATAAGTTTAGCAATCAGTATTTGGAAAAAAGATAATCCATAACACGGAAGATTCATGTTGGTAATTTACATGCCAAATTAGATATTAAAACATCTGCTGTTTATCCCATATTGTTTTAAACTTTATTGTTACAAAATTTTAAAAATTCAAAACTTTACCCATCTGTTTCTTTAGGTTATTAAAAAAATCAGAATTACTCGAGAAAGTAGGTCTAAATCTGTGCAAAAACTGAGGGGTATTTCTGAAGTATACAATGTTCTCACTTAACGTCTTCCTTTCACACAATTCTTACTATTCCTAACGTATCCTATATTTATAGTAAATTTACTTTATTTGACCTATTACAGATATATTTTAATGTACATGATCTGTGCTGATTTAAAATTTTGACTTACGTGTATTTTCACTGTCAGTGCATTCACCCATCCTAGCATCCTTTTATATATTCTTCTTATAGGAAAAGTGTCTTGTCGGGGCTCCTGAAACACTAGGGAATTCACCTTAACAAAAGTACACACATCTCAGGCTGGACAGAGGCAAATTCTTAGGAATGAGGTATCAATCAGGGAAAATATCAACCGTGATGTGACTAAGGTGATTATGGAGAATTTTGGATTTTCTGGGTGGACAAATAAGGAGGGACATTTCAGGGATGGATAAATAAGGACAGATATTTCAAGAATAGAAAGATCTATGTGGATACAAAAGCTCTAAGGGGTAAAGGATGACCATGTCCTGTCTTGGAATGCAATACTCCAGGGTCTTGGAGCTCAAATATTCTAAAACCATGCCCCTCCATATTAGGAAGAAACATATCCTGCTAAGGTTCTTTATTCTTTATGTTCTCCAAGAACAACTATCCCTGTATGCAGAGTTAATCTCATTCATATCTTTGGTCCAGTAGTTATTGGGTTTTTTTTTTTCCTGGATTCAAGGCCTGGTTTTCATGCAAGTCTGTACAACACACAAGGCTAATAGAGGTGAATATGAGTCTTTGTTGAGCTCCTAGTACACTGGTCTAAGCTACTGATACAATTTCTCAGAATTTTCTTTTCCTTTTTTCTATAAATGTATGCTAGTTTGAATATCTGTTATGTAAGAATTAATAGTTTCTACATATTACTGTTTTATGTTTTCAAAAACCAAATTATTCAAGGAATAAACCTATATGCCTGAGACTGATAGGTAGATATTTAATAAATGTTTATAGAATAAATGATGATATCTGCACAATTATATAAAGTGGTTTATAATTGTGTCTTTTATTCCTGTTCCAGTAACTATCAGCATCCCACAACTAACTGTAAGAAAGCAATAGCAAAAACTTAGCTAGTTAATTTTTATGTTAGCCAGGCATAAATAGGTTAGTGTTAAATCTAGTAAATAACAGTGCTCATCAGTTCAAGTTAGAGTCACTCTAATGATGCTAAGAATCCAAAGTACAATTTTTATTCTTCTCCTGATTTACTATGAACCACATCTTTCTGATTTCTATTAAGATTGGCTGATTTATATTGCAGTTTTGACATTGCTATTTTGTATTCCACACAAAATGATAAATAAAAACATTTTCAAATTTTAACTTTGGCTTTTAAACACCTGAAGTTCTAAATTGAAGATATTTGCTGTCACGAGGGTGGACAGAAATGGGAATTAGTGAGACAGACAGAGAGAATGTGGAAAACACTGTTGATAACCTCAATATTGATTTCACTATCATAATATAATTAGTGAACTTAAATGACAGTGTAACATTGACAATGAAAATAGAATGTAGAACTTCAATACAAATTATAAGTAGAAATAAAACTTGTAAAATTTAACATTATTTTCAGGTATTAAATCTTTATTGGCTTTTTTGTTGTCTGTCTACTTTGAGTGGATATGTTTCTGATATTTACAAACATGGAGATAAAATTTGAGGATTGTACATTTTTTTTCAGTAGAACTATCTCCCATTTGCTATCATCATTCATATAATACCTCTTTTTTTCTGCAATGCATAAGAAGTTCATTCATTCCTTCACAGCAAGATACTTGCTATTGCCAATAAAATAAATGCAATTTATGTTATTATATCTGGCCGGTTCTTCTATGTCCAAAATTCAATAGTATTGTATTTCAACCTAAGAAAAGCACCTAACTTAAAAATTGGGCTTAACAGTAGTCTAGCTATGAGGCACTCAAGAAGCACACAGAAGTTTCCTTTTGGAAAAATGCATTGTATACACAAAGATCATGAGAGGATGCAGGGTCTGACTGCATGCAATTTGCATGCAGGTGGTGAGTCTCTGAAGTGGTACTGAGGGATGAACCAGGGTGGATTAATTTCTAGTCTTTGATATTCATTAACTCAAGCTTCAGAAAAAAAAAACAAGGAGATGATACAATTACCCTCAGAGTTTTATCCATGACCAGCAGCTTTACAATCTCATGTTCATAATGGCATACTAATTGATCAGAAGGGGCACATACTTTTAGTGAAACAGTACTTGGGCTTAACCAGAGCAGCAATGATAGTTGACTCTGGGAGAATCAATTCTGCTTTGAAAATACCTAGCAAAATAGTTACTTTCTGTGCTATCTGTCAATGGCTACACCCAAACAAAATTTAGTGTTAAAAGTATTGCTGGTCCAGATAAAATTATCATTTTATTTGACTCAAATAGTCATCTCTATTTTTATTTATAGATGCAAAACCTTTCAAAGTGGATTCTTACAAAATACTTTAGAAAGAGGAAAACTAGCCTGGCATGGTGGCCGACACTTAAAATCTTAATATTCTGAGAGGCTGAGGCAGGAGGATCCCAAATTTAAAAGCAGTCTGGGAAATTTAGTAACTTAGTGAGACTCAGTCTCAAAAAAGTGTGGGGCATGTAGCTCAGTGCACAGGGCTTGAGATCACTCATCTGTGATGTGAGTGATATACCACCAAACAACAGCAAAAATACATGAAAACTTCTGATCAGAAGGAAGAATAGAAGTTATCAAATCTTTTCTGAAATGAGGTAGACAAAGGAAAAGAGTGTTATAAAGAAAAGGAATGTTCTGGCCATGTCTAAGAATTAGCAGTGAACCATATGTAGACAGAAACTTATTTACCTCTGGAGCTTCGAAGACTTCAGGGTCGCCATGTATGGCTGGAGGAAAGATGGCTACCAAGTCTCCCTTTCGCAGGCTGCAGTCACCAGTGTCGGAACTGAGAATAAAGTCCTCTTCAACAAAACGAATAGTGCTTGAATAGGAGGATAGTCGAAGAGCCTCAAAAATGATGCTTTCTGGAGGAAACGAACAATAATGTACTGGAAAGTGCTTCTGGAAAGTGCCTTCAATTAGGCATTAGTGCTCATTACCAATAGTCTTCATTGAAAAGCAAACTATTTCTCATCACATCCACTGAGCCCCAAAGTGGGAGTCCATGGTGGCTGTGGGTGGCAAGGCAAAGGTGGGGTAGCCTGACCCCAACACAGCTTGTGAACATTTCATAGGCAGGAAACAGCAGTGATGTGTTTGGGAGAGAAAGCCACTGGTTATGGTTTTTATAAGAAAAAATGATCAACAAGAGAGGAATGCTGTGTTAGGGGTACACCTATTAAAAAGTAAAATGACATCCCTCTTACAGTTCAGTGCTGGTGGATTATTTCACCAGCTTTCAGACAGGCTTAGCCATTTAATAACCATTTAGGCAGTTAATAGTAAAGTAATTGTAGTAGTGCTTTCTGAGACAGCTTAGCACTTAATTTCTTTTATGCTAGCTGTAAATAAAATGTGAGTCAGCGTTTGCTGGAAAAATTTCAAAAGAAAAATACTTATATAGGGTTCAGGAAAAAAAAAAAAACATATTTTCTTTAGCATCCAGGGAGAATAACAGCTACTATCATACTCTAGAAGATTCCAGAAACTGAATGTCCTTGCTTTCCCAGTGGCCTTCACCTTTTGCTCCTAGCACGACAGATTTTATGGCTAATTTCCGGCAATTTATCCTGGCAGTTTGAGGAGGAATTCCTTTGGGAATAATATGCATAATTTGCATAAATCATTCTGATAGCATGCATATCAGCGTGTAGCTCCTGTCTAGGTCTGCATCTCTCCCTTCATAATCAAAACTGACTATGTTTCCACCAGCGTGAATGGGTCTTAGAATATAAAACTTGATTTTTCCTAATCAGAAATGTGAAAAAGAGCTCCAAATGGAGCTTTTCCCCTCTCCTTCTGATATAATAAAATAGTTGTATTCATGACTTGCAATTTACAAATCACACACACAAAGAGTACAGTGTCATAGTGTTCACCAAAACTCTGACACAGCCAGTACCCAGTTACTAGATTATTAAAGCTAGGCCCATCAGTAAAAGCTCACATCCCACAAAAAATAAATGTTATTTCAGTAAATGTGAAATCCATGCATAGCTTGCATAGGGATATGAAGTTGCTGTGGGTGCCTTCTCCCAGGAGGTTTTTCCTTAAGCATGCATTTGTCTAAAGAAATGAGGCTGCGGTCAGCTCTGTGTGGGCAGTGTGGTGATTCGATGTGACGTACAGTGAGACTGTGCATATTCTCTTGGACTGCCTTCGTTATTATAATCAGGCAGAGTCAAATCGGTTTGCTGGTGATGAAGCCAGAAAAGAACTTTGGTTTTGGAACATGGACTCTAACTGCAGATAGCCACAAGGCACCTGACACGATGGATTTCAGTTGGCAGGACACCAACAACCAACTTTTCCATGGTGAAAAGCAAGGCTTGGCTTCCCCTGTACTGTTGCTGGCCTTGGTGGGCCAACAATAGCACTGCGTCATTTTAGCTTGTGGTAGGAAATGGTAGGTGACATATGTGGCAGAGCTGTTCACCCAAGTCCAGTAGGGGTGTGAGAAGAAGAAATACAAAAGCAAATAATGGTGAAGTAGCTGCCCTGACAGCCAGGCGTTTAACAGCCTGAACAACACGGTCACATCCCATTGGCCCGTGCGCTCTGGGGGAGCATGGCAGCTTGCGCCCACCGCAGTATCACAAATGACAATTGGGCAAGCATATCTTATGCAGAAGTTAATCACAATAATGGAGCTCAAAGTGTGGCTCGGCAGTCAGATCGTAAGTGACAAATCTGTTTTACTTTCCAGTACTAGTTATGTGTGCAAGATGAGACTGGCTCTAGCTCTGAGCGATCATGCCGATAATCATTAGACGACAAAAGTAATGAGTTTCATTATTAGCAACAATGGAGAGTCAAGCTTATAGTATCCTGCAGGACAACGTACAGACTCAAAAACCAGCAGCTTTCTGGCCACCCTCAGTATAAATGCAAGCAGAGATATACATTGATAAGAATGACAACTGCATACACACACACACACACACACAAATGCAGCCTCTACTTGTAGTTGTCATAGTTGAGCAGACACCAGCCAGTGCCACTGACAGACCAGCTGGGCCCTGGGAGGACGTCCATGCTACACCAGGAGGTACAGTAAATTATCCTGCACGGTAGAGCAACATCTGTTTCTGTGCTAGTGCCGAACAAACAAGGCAATTTAAAACATACCAAGGGATAACCAAGCAACAAATGAACATGACCCTCATTTTTTTCCCCTTCTCACACACAAAGTGCTAAACTTCATTGTGCAAGCATTTCATGAAAGAGGAGCCAGGTTTTTATTTGATAAGGTGTTGTCAGAGAGATTTTACATATTTCCAAAATGGAAAGAAAAAGCTTATAGTATTGTTATTCTTAGAATCGTCCCCTTTCTATCTTCATTTCTTTTATACCAAAGCTAGCACTCAGTTCTCAATTCACTCTAGAATTAAAAAAAAACCTTTCCATACACTTATAAATATTCAGTCTTTAAGCCTAATTTGCTATACTTAGTTCACATGCCTTCAAGCATTTGTCTTCCAATTTCCACTGAATAAATGCGTACTAATGAGAACTAGAGCAAGCTGCTGAGGCAAAGCTGGGTGACTTGGGTCTGGCCTGCCACCAGCTTGTGATAGGCGGGCAAATTGAGTTAAAATGAAAAGTCTTGTCAGCTGAAATTCAACATGGTAGCCAAACAGCAAGCTGTCAATCATCCAGCCAAAACAAGGGACTGCAGGTAATAAAAGGTCATTGCGAATCATTAGTGCATTGGCTTTCATATGGAAGTTAATTTTAATTAAACATGATCTCTATCTGTTAATGTTTTATATAACTTATTGTGCATAATGAATTGTTAATTTATACCAACATTTAGCAGGTAATAGGACCCTTTAATTATTAGAATGCATTGTAGAAAAATGGTTATCAAGAATGCAAATATTTTGGGGATAAAATTTACACCAGGCACTACAAAGTGCCAACAATCTCAACTGTGATTGAGATAAGACTGCCTGTGTTCTCCTATGAACTAAGTTTTACTGACTAGTAAAATCCATAAGGTAATTGGATTTCAAAATCCAGCACTGAACGCACAATTCTGAACCTGTTTTGCCTTCTTCATCTACCTGTGGTAGATGTGTTTCTGTTTTCAGAATATAAAACTATTCAGACTAAACAAAGAACTGGGGAATATCTATATAGATGCCTTACAATGTAACTGGGAGAAAATGGCAAATAAGAGGAAATGCTGGTAGAAAAAGGCACGCACATTTTCTCTTCAGACCTCTGATCTTGATTCTGGCTGCAATAATTGACAGATGATTCTCATTTGCAGATTTAAAGTGCTAAAGCAGAACATGGCAATCAATAATGCATATTACAAGCAAACACAGGCACCTCCGGTTTCTTCCTCACACTTAAACCATGTCTGTATATGTGGAATGAATGTACTGTGACATGGCCAGGCTGTTAATTTGGGTCATCTTAATGATTAGTGCAGGCTGGCATGCCTTCTGATAGCCTTGGTGATCAGGGAAGGCTGGAGTAAAATGAACAGCAGGCCTTGCCACACTCACTTGGGCTGAACACTTGGGTGAAGAGAAAGGAGAAAGGGCAAGAAGAGAATAAAGTTGAAAAAGATATGATCTGGAAGGTATGATGGAATAGAGTGAAGGTCAGTATGTGTGTATATGTATGTTTTTACATAACTATTTGCTAAACAGATGAAAAGGTATATAAGGAACTGTGATAATCTTATAATTTATAGCAAAACCACAATTTTGGTTCAATAATTATATATATTTGAATAAAATTAGCAATAAATATGGATTATTACAAATGTCTACTTTCACACTGCATTGCAAACACAAGTTTTATCTTACTGCTAAAGTATATAAATGTAAATTCAACAGCCATACAGCCAACAAACATTTGTTAGGTTCTATTTTGCTCAGAACACTGGGCCAATCCTGTTCCTGAGAAAGGGAACAAAACAGAGGGATGTGACCTTCACATACCTAGCAATCTAGGTAGTTCAAGAATGGTCCTAAGAGCCTAAAGCAAATATTGTACAATCCTTTTTTAAATTTATGAATAAAACTGTATATATTTGTGGTATTCAGACTTGTAAAATACTTATATAGTACATATATATATATATAAACATGAATGGCTCAAATAGTCTAATTAACATATGCATTACCTCATGTGTTTATGTTATTTGTGATGAGAACTACTAAAGTTTATTCTCTAAACAATCTGATGTGCATAATTTCATACAGGATGATTCCAACGCTGGTATTGTGAAAGCCCATTTTAGTAGAATATTATTTTTCAGATGGTGGTAAAATTCTCTTCCCTTTAATTTTCACCCTCTAGAAAATAGACAGGCAAAAATTCTAGTATCTTTTCAATATAACAAACTTTAAAAATATGTAAGGATAACTATCATGCCATTTACTAATTGTGTCAAAAATGATACACTGGATGAAACCAGTTGGTCAATATGCCTCTTAAAATGTGGCAGAATTAGGTGTACATTTAGAAAATTACAGAGAAACTCTCATTTTCTGTGTCCTCAATGCCATACATCTATTGATGCTTCCTGGGAATAGAGAAGAAAAATATTTTTGAAATACTACTTCTACTGATTTGTTTTAACTGATATCCCAGAGGCTACCAGCAGTTCTGTTATCCTCCAGAGTCACCTGACATTGTCAGAGTCAATAAATGCTCCATCTGAGCCCAACAGAATCAGAACTTCCACCTTAATGCCTTTGAATTAGTGGTTTTGAAACTTGACTACAAATTGGAATCACCTGGGGAGCTTTAGAAACCATTAGCCTCAGTCCAAAAAAAAAAAAAAAAAAAAAAAAAATGAAATCAGAATCAGTCAGAATCTTTGTGGGCAGGACCAGGGATAACCAGGTTTTTGTTTTGTTTTGATTTTGGTTTGTTCCTTTGGTTTTTGGTCTCCAGGTAATTCCAATGAGCAATCAAGACTGACAGCTACTGCTTTAAGCTAGTTTCTACTATGCTATAAGTTTCCTCATCTTTTGTAGTTGATTTTCAGGCCTAACTACAATAATCTGATACTTTATTTTGCATTCAAGTTTCCTTTCAGTCCATGCAGCTTCTGTTTCCATCACTCATTATCCTATCAAACCCACTTAGGTTTGTTTTGAAATGAGAATTCGATGAATATCCAAATCTGTATTTTTCAGTTTTTTAATGATGTTTCCTTATATTACATATAAACATCTCCAATACTTACATGCCTGGGTTTCTGATATACCCTTTAATGAGCACTACTTTACCCCCTCTCCAGTTAGAAGTTCCTAACATGAAGTAGAATTTATGCCTCCTCTATCTTAGAGAGGATTTGGGTAAATTTCAGAATTGTCTGAATTATGTAAACTTTTAACTTTTAAAGTATCCAATTATTTTATCATGTTGAACTTTTTCAAAATAATGCCTACAATCCTGACAAACATACCAATAGATACAAGATAAAGGAAATTGTATGAGAGGTATATGGAAATTATCACTACTATTTTTGTATCTTTGCCATAAATCTAAAATTATTCTAAAATTAGGTATTTCTTTTTATTTGAAAACATATCCTCAAGATTCTAATGTGAACTCTAGTCCTATCCTCACATTCAAATGCTGCTACAATTGAAAATCAGTGATACATATCCTACAAAAAGCAATGGCCAACCTGACAAATTTCTAGGGAAGTTTTCCCTGAGAAAACAGGTATGGTGAAGCACTGTTCAGGCAGACTCGGCATCAATATCTGGGTCTATTATAGTCTATCTAATCATAAGACTTGGGGTGATTAGCCAATCTTTATGCAGATTGTTACTCAATAATTAAAGAAAAATAATGATACCCAGGGATAAAATATAGTAAGATACATAAAATCCTGTTATGTTTGACACACCATGAGTAATTATCATTGCTACTAAGGCTAGAGAATGTGACTCGGTGGTACAGTATAAGGCCCCAGGTCTAATCCTTAGCAGTACCATAAAACAAAACAATATTACCTTCTCTAACGTCTTATCCTGAATGTTCACTGTATGTTGATCTGACCCACATTCTCTGATTTTGTCTATGTGCTTATAATTGCTGGCTTTGTAGAATCAAGATACAAAGGGTTCTTTTCCCTTCTGAGATGGAACAATGAAAACAGCATCCAACTACTCACAAATCACATGAGTCTAAGGCGAAAGATGTGATGATCAGAAAACACACATGAAAATCCTACTTATCTTACTCCTTCCATGCCCTTTGGTAAGCTATTTAACATCTGAGAATTTTCTCATCTGTAAAAATAGTGACAAAATAATGGTAGCCACAGTTCTCAGAGTATCTTGTGGAAAGTCACATAAAATAAGTATACAACTTTGCTTTGAAATATTGAGATAATATATTTAACATGAACTATATCTAAAGGTTACTGTTGTCTATTGTTAATAGACCTTTACATTTTTCAACTGACCTTTTTTTCTGGATCTCCCATCCCACCAACTGATCACAAGTAATGGGTTTTTTTTAATAGAACTTTGGTGAGCACAGCAAGATTCCAATTCTACAACTGTAATTTATGACCTTTGCCTTTTAAAAAGTATTACAGATTTTTGCCTCATCCTAGTTTTATGGGGCTTTCCAGGATTCCAAAATCCCTCAGTTGGACTGTTTGTAACTCTTCTCTATTTGAGAATGTTTAATTGAACATATTTAGTACCTAAAGTTTACTTGAGCTGTTCAGAAGTTACAATCAATTTTGATTTATGTTCTTAGTAGAATTCTGTTTGTGTTTTTTCCTGGGTGATGCAGAGAAATAGCATTCCTGTGGTAGATAGTAGACTTAAACATGATGCCAGCTTTGATCACAGATAATTGGAAAGCAATAGGACAATATGTTTCACAGGAATATCATAGAAATTAAATATCATTTTGATGATAATGATAGGTAGTAATTATTGAGTGCCAATTATCTGTGCCATTATATTAATACATATGCTTTTCCTGTAAACTGCAATAAATAATATTCACTGAGATTACTTGTTATTAACTTATAAAATTTTAAATTTGAGAACACTATCCTTTTATTAATATTTGGCTTCTTCTCTCTGGATCACCTTTTTTCCTTTACTTTGCCTTAAAATGTATTTTAAACCTGAAGTTCTAAACCCTACTTTCACTTCAGCTTTTTATTCTGAAAAAAAGCTGAAAAATTCTCACTATTCTCACAGTTTCTTAAACTTCCATCCCATTGGCAGTTTCTCATATTGAGATTTTTGACCACAAGTAGCAGTGATCTACACCACACTGTATTTATATTATTTCAACCTTTACTTAAATAGTTGTGGAGCTATTTGCTAAGTATTAATAGATATAAGATTATAGTGAGGTTATGACAAGAACCTTTCATAATATATATAAATATAAAACTGAAACATATTTTCTTTGTCTAAGAGTAGAGTCATTTTAAAAAGAATCTCAAAAAAAGCATAAACTAACCTCTGATGACTTTTTAATTACTTAAAATGATTTTTAAAATTTATTTAGCCTGTGGATTCTAACTTCCTATGCTAACTTTCAACAGTGCTTTATAAAGTATGCTGGCATGCAAAAATCTCTTTTAAAAGAGGACTCTCTTTTGTTACATAATGTCAAAATACTCTTTCTTGGTTATAGACATTTAGCATTTATTTCATTATGGAATTTTTTTCTTTCAATGAAAAGTCAAGATACTCTTTAAATAAAAATTACACTTAAAATACATAGCATCTTTCCTTAAGATGACAATAAAGATACATGCACACACTCTTACAATGTGATGCACTGTAATTATTTAATTATTTCATCTTGCCTTTGTGCTTACAGTTTATGCTTTTTTGATATAGGGAAACACTATAATTGAGCTACAACTAATTTCAGAGGTTGGTATGTAATGGATTAAAAATTTTGTCCTAATTTGATTGAACCTATCTCATGAAAGAAAAAGAAGTATACACTATTTTCCAGAAAATAATCAACTCCATCATTTTAAATTCTCATAAAAACAACACTGGCCTCTACTGGTGACTGAGGTCATGATAAAGTCTTGTTGGCAGCTGAAGGCATTGCCTTAGCAGGTGGATCTCAACTCACTTGGGATTTTTATTGTTATTACTCATTGGTTGATGATAGGAGCCATAAATTTAGGAATCCACCAAGGATGAAAGTCCATAGGTTCTGTTTATGGATTTCAATGAACTCAAATAATTGCTTTAGAATTTGCCACTCCTTTTGCTCAAGTAAATTCAAACATTTCTACACTTTAAAAATAATTTTTTCAATGACAAGGAGTTGTAAGCAAGAGCATTGATGCACTTCAAATAAATTTGAGTAATTATTATGTATACGATAGAAACATATTCCTTGAAGTTTATTTGCATTATTTTTCATCTTATTCATAAAATGCAGTGGAAATTATGTGGCTATCTGGAGAATATTATTTACATCTTCACAGAAACTATCCACAAAATATAATATATCAAAGTAGAGGCAGCTACCCAAAATTTGTGACAAATTTTGTGTATTTGTGCCTTGTGAATTCTGCAAAGAAAAATATAATAATGTTTGGATTATAGTACTGTTAAGATCATTTGCTTTTGCAAGAAAATACAAGATTCTTTTGATAATACATTTGACACCAAACAATGAGGTGACATTTTTCCTAACCTTGGCCAGTTCAGAGCACATTTTCTGGTATTTTTCTCTAACTGGTCTTAGTGTGATCGGTGAGAATAATCTCTACAACACTGGGGCCCTTCTTCTCAGTTCTACCTAGTGTTCAGCCATAGGCAAGAGTAGGAAGGGATTTGCTCTCAGATGTTGCAATCAAAAAACCTAGAATGTATTAAAAAGATAAGAAATTGAGGCCAACACAGGGTAAAATACCAGCATAGACTGTTAAGGAGGGAGTATAAGAAATATATAAGCATTTTTTTCCGTAGCATTTGTCTAAAGGAGCTAGGAATATTGTATCCTAAAGAGTAGTACAGGACGAAATGTAAATACAGAGGAAATATAGAATAATTCATTAACATAACATTTAACTTACTGGAACATAATGAAAAGTCATGTCAAAATCAGGAAAGGTGAATACAATCTGCTGTAATCAGGAGCTCATGTTACAGATGTACAGGCATATGTAGATTTTCTTTTAAAATGTTGGTCCTTTTAACCTCAAAGTATTTGATATAGTGAATATGGGTATTTCAAAGTGAGTGAATATTTTATAAAATATCAATAGTAGACATGGAGTAGTTTGAAGTTGGTATTGTTTTCTCTCTTTCTCCCTTCTTTCTTCCTTTTCTTCTTCATTCAAATCATGAATTTCCAGTGAGAAGCACCTTTACCACATTTTGAGAACCATATACTCCAAGCTATACAAAACATACTAATTTTGGCCTAAAAATATAGACAGCATTTTAAGGAAGAATAAATACATTTTGCACATAGTGTTCCTCTCTGAAATACTTTGCTTTTCAATCTTCCAATTCTTTGCTTGTCAAGATCGTGCAGCAATGTTTGGAAAGCAGTAGCACACCAACAGATGCTCAGAATCAAATGACTTAATAGGCATAAACTATTTTTTTCAAATAATTGCAAAGCTTTGGTTTAGCCTTTTGCATATCTTGCATAGTTAATTACCTAGGCCTTAATGTTTACATGCAATGAGAGTATCTACAGCTATAAACTACATAATTTATAATTGATGTAAATGGGTGTTATTATGTCAATTAGGCAGCTGTGTCCTCCACCTCTTGGTAAACAGCTATGAGTGATAAACTGAGTTTGCAGAAAGGTACCTTCTTTTCTTCACAACAGATAAAAATAAATTACCTAGGCAGACCAGGCTGTCCAATTGTTCTCTGGTGAGGTGAAGGGAAAATCCAGACCCTTTTTTTTGACCTGTTGACTGCAGCAAATGGTCAATTTCATCACGCAGGGCTTCCGCAGCTTCTGGGTGCCGAAGAACATAATACATGGCCCAGAACATAACTGGAATACTGTTTGCGATAGAGGCCCAGAGAAGGGCAAAATGATGTGCTAGGAGAAAATAAGTGAAAAGGAAGATTAATAGCATTTATTACACTGATTAGATTTGCAGTGTGCTAATTAAAAGATGTTAGGACACAGACCCAGCCAAGGATCAGTGCATGCTAATGAGAACCAATAGGCTTCTGAAGTCTAATTTTCTGCTTAATGAGAATAGTTTAAAATGTAATGTGTATAGGGGGCAGGAAAGTGGGGGATGAGATAAGAGGAGTAATGCTGCTTCGTTATACTCTTTCTCATTATCATCATTAAGTATCTTGTTTTACCACCTCAGCAAAAAAAAAAAAAAAATCAATTATCAGAGAGGGTTTTTTCAGAATAAAACATTTTATCATTAGCCAATTAGAAAGAACATAAAAAATTTCAAGGTCGCCATTTTGTCTTTTTATTTCAAAGGTCTACTGTAAATTATTTTATTTTAGGCAAGTAATAATTCAGAAGTTTCTTACCACCTATGTCAAGGTCCTCGAGTCCATAGTATTTCTCCAGAATATCTTGCCTCTTCTGAACAACTTCTGAGCTTCCTGGTATCTTCGCTAACTCTTCTGGGGTCATGCACTTTATAAGCTTCTCCCGTATAGATTTGACATTTCGTAGGAACACAATAGGTATGTCAGACATCAAATATGGGAATTTATCATCAAATTTTAAAATATTATCTCTTAGCTCACTGATAAATGTTTTTCTGTCATCCTCAGGAACTTTTCCATACATTGTTGTAAATGTGATCTCAAATACCATTGTGCAGCAAAACGTTAACATCTGTGTCTTGTTCCAATTTGTGGTTTTTAATAGCTGGGACTCAAATGTTTGTTTTATATTTTGTAACATATCCTCCAGGATTATGTCCAATGATTTGCCTTGCAAAAATTGATAGGCACCGTGAAGTTCATGGTCGAGGTCCTCATAGTTTTCCAGAATCTTTATAGAGAATACTCTCACTGATAATTTTCGGGTAAGTCTTTGAAAACTCAGTTTTTTGTGATATTTATTCAGCAGCTGGTACTGGAAAGGGTCTAGAATAAATGTTATGTATTTGCCTGAAAAGGAAAGAATCAGAGTTTATTTGGTAGCAGAGCAAAAATATATGTACTTTAAATTTGCATTTGTTTTGAAACATGGTCTTCTTGTGAAGTCCAGGCTGACTTTGAACTCTCATCCTCTTGCCCCAGCCTCCCAATTGCATATCACTAAGCCTAGCTTAAAACATTTTAATCAAAATTAGAAAGACTTCATTAACTAAAACACAAAATTAATAATAACCCATTTCACTCAAAGGTCTACTACAGGTTTCACTTAAAATCAGAAGATCATGTAAAAAACTCTAGAAGCTTGAAGTTAAATATACTGAAGTTCTAAATGATTTTTGTATAATAGTTTACACTCACAATTTTAATTTTAACTAAACTACTCAAACACTTTAAATATTCCTTAAATATTCTCATGATGCATTTATGTAAACATTTCTCATTTTCTCCTAGAAAGCAATAAAATGAATTGATAAGATGTAATGCCAGTAGTTTTCATTTATAATTTATAAGGACTTTTATATATTTCATGTCAGCTTTGGTCAAATATAATAATTTTTAACTTAGGTAACTAATAATGCTCTTAAGAATAGCTGAATATCTAGTTCATCTAATTTAAAACTACAAAACTAAATAAAAAACCCAGCACTTCATTTTTATGGATGAGAAAATAGTGGTTCAAGGAGATTCAGGAACATATTCAAGATCACATACTGAATTGTAACTTACACAGGATTTTAATCTAGAACCCATTAGTTCATCCATTCATTCATGTGTTTATTGAACAGTGCCAGAAATTCACATTTTTCTTGGGATATGAAGATGAAGAAATCATTGGGTCATGATCAATAGTGACAGAGCATAGGTTAGATAAAACAGAAGGTGTCAGAAATGGAATTGGCTGTAGCCTACCTCAAGTTGTCAGGAAGCATTCCTTGAGATAATGACTATCTTTCATATAAAACTTAACTAAACTTAAATACAGATTCCTTCAGGATTCTGATTCATAATGCTTGAAGATAAAGCTTACAAGTCTCTATTATGGACAAGATCCTCAAGTGAATATTACCAGGAGGCACCCTTGAGGAACACAAACAATTATACTACGTCCGTTTCTCAAAACTGGCAAGGACCTTGGAGAGTTCTGAGCTCAACCCAAGCATTTATCAATTAAGAAAGCTGAGAAAGTGTTCAACATTGAAGAAATAGCCTGGACAAGAAACTTCTTCGCTATGCTTTTCTTTATAAAATGCTGGTTTCTTCTCACTGGAGTGCTGTTTTAAATTCCTTGTAATTAGAAATATTATGTATATAGTACCCAATAATAGCATTTAATAAATCTCTCCTTTCCAAAAATACATAGGAAGTTTAGATGATCCTAAAATTTCCATCTCTCTCTGTCTCTGTTTCGTTCTCATTCTTTCTCTATCTTTTTAGCTGGAGTACATTCCATTTGTTATGTATAGTAACACAAATGGCATCACAAAAATTTGATTTGTTCTAATTTATTTAGGATAATTTTTTTTTTAGAAACCTCTCACTGTGTGCTTTTTTATTTTTATTTATTTATTTATTTATTTTTGTCTTTTTCTTTTTTTATCGGTACCGGGGCTTGAACTCACAACTGCCTGCTTGCAAGGCAGGCACTTATGCCGCTGAGCTAAATCCCCAGCCCCTTAGGATAAATTTTTAAATAACTTTCAGCCAACTCCTAGAAGTAGGATAAATGTGTTTTTGATTTAGTCCTTGAAAATATGGTTAAAGTTTTTAATGTATATACATTGTGGTTTATTTTTGAAAAATGAATCATATAAGTTGAATTTTCTTCACTCCATTTCCCCTTTTATAAAGCCAATCTAAGAATGAGGGAAGGCTAAAAGAGCTACTCTTTTTCATCTAACACCAAAGAATGTCTTCTACAAAGTAAACTAGATATTTACTTTATCTATCTATCTATCTTGGGGAAAACAAAATGGACTCAACTGGATTTGCACATATTTAATAACACCTGCTTTTCCATCACCATTTAATTAAATAAAATTTCCAGCATCTGCCTGACAAATAATTGGAGAAAAAGTGTCAATTCTCTTATTTTCAGGAGATACAATTTCAGGTAAAGTTGTATATTTTCTCAGGTGTTGAGTGATAATCTTCTTTTATTAAATGAAAAGATTTTGCTAAATAATTCTAGGGTTATTTTAAAAGATTCCCTAAAACTCAGAGAATTAAAAACTATTTAACTGTAAAACACACACATCTTTACAGAATATTTTGAAATTTTTCCTACTAATTTTCTATCTTCAACTAAATATAAGTGGGAAGACAATGTGTTCAGACCCTAACCTGCTACCTGCTCCTGGGCTCTTGAAGTAGAGGCTGGATGTATATAAGTTTGTGTTTTCTCTGTAATTCACCAGAAATATACACATTCTCTGCCCCTATTTCTCTTTCCTCTCTTCTGTCCTTCCATACAATGGAAATGTGAAGTTCATTTCCAAGAAAAGAAACACATGTTGAATGTGAGAAAAACTGTTTCAGGTTTGCCAGTTATTAATATATTTCTTAAAAACAATTATTTTTCTAGGTTTTTAAAAAAATCATTACTGATTAATTTTGGTCTATTTGCTGATAAAATTCTCAATTCTTGTCCTTCTCAAGATCTTTTTATTCTATGATTTGTATTTTCTCCTTCTTGTTTTTATTTTAATTTTCTTCAACATCAAGACACGATGCATTTTACCTTCTATCTTTTTGATTGAGATGTGGATTGCTTTAGAAGTACAAGTTTTGATTATTCAGATTTTACCTTCCAAGTGGGTTTGGAAGTACTAATAACCCTGGAGATGTTATCTGGCTTTCCAACTTTTAATCTTCAGTATAAACAATTTAAGCTAAGTTTTCCAAAATTAATATTAATTTAAACCATCTGTCCACCATCTGCTAATGTGAGATGCAAAACCAGAGTTTCTTTGTGATCTTAATCAGACAGTTAGGAAAACACATATACATTCATAGAAGGAATTTAAATTTTCTAACAAAGGAAATCTTCTGAAAAGTTATGTTATGGGCTATGTATTCTTGGGTCAAAATTAACTTTTGCTCCAGTGTGGCTTTATGTAAATGATTGCCGTGAGTCAATAGGCACGTAGCCTAGTTCACAAAGATCACATAGTAGAAACAATATCTTTTGCCATGTTTTCAGAAGAGAAGAGAATACTGTCAGCAGTTGGTATGCAATAGTGATTTAAGGAATTTCAGAGTTCGCATTTGTCTAAAATATGAATGTCAAAATGGGTCCCCCCTGCCTGAAAAAATATAATTAAACAGTCCTTCTTTTAAACAGTATATTTGAAAAGGGGAAAACTTTTTAATATCTTTCTCTTAAATTATTTTAGTCTCTTCCTTTTAAAGGGAGATAACCTAAAAAGTTCTTTATGATATTAATTCTAGCATTCCTGTATAATCTGTACCTGTTCATTTACTAATGCAATAGACTTTTCCCTCACCAGAATTGCTTTTTTTAGGAAACTGAAGCTACATGGTTCAAAGTACAATGATGAATGTATTTTTAAAAAATCTAGATAGTAATCGTGATGTCTTATACACAAGAAGTTTAACATTTGAATCATTAGAAATTAATTTTGATGTTTTTATGTCTGATATTTGATATTGTATAGGGACCTAGCCATGGAAATTCAGGACAACTATTTGCCTGGGATAGAAATACTCAGCCAACAAATATAAGACAAATTTTAAACTTAAAGAATTTTTCCATAATTATAACCTTTCAATTTCTTTGTCTAAAAATCTCAAACTGAAAGTGTTAGCTGTGTGAATGAAGTATGAGCCAACTTTTTATTTTATGAAGATGACCACTTTTACATAGTCCCCTTCTTATTAGGGAGATTTTGCTAGCTGTTGACAATGATGTACAGTGGAACTTCGCTGGGGTGACATCTAAGGAAAATGATTCCACTGCACCACCACACAAAACCAATTAGAGAACTATTTTCTGAGACAGGTCATGAATTTAAGTGGTTTCTCATGAAAAGATGTATATTTTAATTTCTTTATTAAAATGACATCCACGTCCCTTGAGACTTTTTAGGATGACAATCATTTGTTCATCCTGCAAGAATGTATACTAGCTGAAATCACGTTATGGGACAGGGGTGGAAGACTCTGTTATTCATTTTCTAAATGAGCTACTTTGGAATCTGATCATTAGAATCATACACAGTAACAGGATTTATTGACAGGAATTTATTCAAACTCTAGTAAGAAGTGAAAGAAAGGCAGTAGTACTTATTCAATTGTGTTTGTCTACTATTGAGTTCAAATATGTAACCATGGCTAAATTATTTAGAAATTAAAAATTCAGTAAGGTTCTCAGAATTTAAAATTAACATGTCAAATGTAAAACAAAAACAAAACACTTTTGGGCCAGGGATTTAGCTCAGTGTCATAAGCACCTGCCTGGCAAGCACGAGGTCATGAGTTCAATTCCCAGTACCCAAAAAACAAATGTAAAAAAAGGAAAGCCACTTTTTTTGGTAAAGTGATAAAGTTATTTAAATCTTTCACAAATTTCTGCCAAATCATCATAGGTAAATTTGCATAACATCACTTAAAACGGAAAAGTTGAAATTTTAAAATAATTTTTGCACCTACTTACTGGAAACATGAGCTTTAATTTCATTAGGTAAACATGATTTTTAAAAGAGAACATAGTTTTGTACTTTGGGCCAAACACTCACTTACAAAAGAAGCACCAGCTGTGTCTTTTATATATACTATAGTATTTCATCAATTATAAGATTCTTGGAATTTTTTCATGAAAACTTACTGACTTACTGTGAATCAATTATTGCTGAGCTCTGAACTAAATGTTGATAATACAAGAGCCAACAGAATAATGAAGGGAGACAGACAAGTGAATTAACAATAAATTCACAATGTGTTAAATGCTCTAAGAATAGTAATAGCAAGAGGAATTGGAACCTGAAGAAGAC